AGGCTATATTTTTGGCCGGGCCTTCGGGCTCGGATGACCCACATTAAACTCGGCCTTGTGCCACATGCTAACCCACGTGGGGGGACAGCTAAATATAGCTATGTTATGATATAACATAGAATCCCTTGATGCAGGACCGTGAGGATTGACGTGATAGACTGCTGAATGTCCGAGATATCTTGACCAAATAAATAATAAAGTACTATTTTTGTCACTCATTGACTCATCACGCCACCATTATATAAGAAAAATTTAAAAAAAAAAACAAATTTCAAATTCGCTTTAAAATTCAATATTTGTCCTAGAAATGTGTTTCGAAGTCTTTTAGTAAATTTAAGGTTTAATTACCTGGATTTTCTCAAAGTAGTGCATGCATTTTACTTGAAACAATGAAAATAACGTTTTATTTACGCGCGGTATCCTGTAAAGTCAAAGGACAAAATAGAAAGACAGTAATTCTACACCAGTCCCAAAAATCGCGGGTAAAAGTAAAAATCAAATCTAAAGAAATACGGAAGACCAGCAGTGAAATAATCAAGAATTTGTTATTTATAATAAAAAAAAATTTTTTTTTAAATTTTTTGAAACAAGTAAGATGACTCCCACACACAGTAGAAACGTTTAATAATGAAAATATATCCTGATATATTTTACCAACAATTGTTAAAACGTTGTATTGTACAATGAAATCTGATATCCCGTAGTATCCTCTCGCGGATCAGCTTTTTACAATAAAAAAATGCTCCCTTACATTATGTTCAGCGTTAATATGCATGAGAAGCCTAATTAATAGCTTGATGCTCTTTTGCTGGTAAACCCATCTTTTTTGTGGGGGGGGAGGTTCTAGCTAATCCATGTAACACCTACTTTTTCTGCAACGCCCACAAAGCCAACATAGGGTCTATATGGTCGGTATCGTAAGGGAGAGCTTAAAACGCGGACAACGAATTGGAGACGTCAAGAAGCAAGAATTTACATAGATTTAACTATAGCGGTAGGGGTGGCGGATATATATATATATATATATATATATATATATATATATATATATATATATATATATATATATATATATTTCGTTAAAGACGACTGATAAAGTACTGCGATTAAATTTTATATTTGTCTTTTTCTTGTTTGTACAAATGTTTTCGTTTCCGGACAGTATGCAAAAACTATCCAAACGTTCTGGATATTCGACTTTTTTCGGCTATGTTTAGGCCATTATAAAGAGCGGTTTAATTTTTAATTTTTTACTGAATGTGTGTGTGTGTGTGTGTGTGTGTGGGTGTGGGTGTGTGTGTGTGTGTTTTAAATGTATGAGTCTGAAGTTATAGGAAAGTTTTATTTTCCAAACACGGTCGTAACACTTTTTGTCTATGTTCGTAGTTAATGTTATTGCGTGTTGGCTTTTGCATTCTTTTTATTAACAATGCTTCCATTATTTTTAATTCATCATGTGGATAAGGCTATTATACTTGTATTTTCTGCTAGTATGTTTCGAATGGATTTTGATAAGTTTTTGTTTGTATTTAAATGAGTTCTGATTGGGCTATGGTCGGGTCGATGTAACGTAAGTCGTCTAGATAGACATGGAGTAGTGTGACTAATGTAATTGTCTATGAGTTTGGTTTGAACAGGAACACAATTCCTTAAGGGGCATTTGAATTCGTAAATAATGTTGGTTTCTTTGTAATTTTGATTTTGCGAGTTGTGTTGTTAACTAACCTTATCATCAAAGATTTCGCTGTTTAGAAAATAAAACATTCCTATAACTTCAGACACATACATAAACAACCAAAAAACACGCAATCTGCTAAAAATCAAAAATCAAAATCGCCCTTGACAATGGCTAAAAGAATAGCCGAAAGCACTCGGTTATTCAGAACATTTGGACTGTTTTTACACACTTTATGCCCAGAAATGAAAACACTAGAAAAATTAAATAAAATGTTCAACCGCATTAGCTTGTCAGCCATCTTTAACGAAACATGTATAAAAGAAGGATTGCTGCCCAAGTACACAATTATATATATATATATACACACATACGTTTCACAAGGTTAAAAGCCATTGAGAAAGGCTTAAATCCATCTCTTTTCTATGAATCCATCTCTTCTCTAAACTCGCAGACCATAGTGGCCCGTAAGTAAAGGTAATGAGTCCGACTGGAATTCGAACTCGGCTCTACTTTGATTCTTCAATCTGAGCCGGTAACCATTGTGCCACCTGCTTCCATATTACTGGTCGTTATAGTTGTTATTTTTTTATTTGCAATTTCACAGACAAGGCGGCTGTATTTCTTCTAATGTGCAGTTAATATGGCCCAAATAGCCTAGACTTAGTGCAAAATCCGTTCAACGATAAGGAATTTTAATAAAAAAGATATATCTGATCGTTAATTGTGATTTCCAATTGACCGCATTGGCAGGGACCAAAAGGCAAGTTTATTGCTTTTTAATCTTTACCGTCAAATCTCATCTGAACGAATTAACCGTACTGGCAGTCAGTGTTGCACGAGAATCTCTTCAAAGCTAAAAGGCGTTTGCTTTGTGTTGTAATATCAACGCGCTTGTCAACTACGTAACTGCAACTTTCCAAAAGAAAAACAGAAAAAAAAGAAGAAAAAAAAACGGTTAGATCTTGTCGCCTGGCTTTTCTCAAGTAACGATCACATTCAATGTTAGATTCAGTTTTCACACATGAATCATACGCTTGATTACGTTGGCTGGGAACAGAAGATTGTGGAACGGCTTTCTCAAAGATAGACAAAAACAAAATGACGAAAAAAAAAGACGTTGTTTATGTACTGGTCGAGTGACATTGAGAGTTCTTGAAATGACTCCTGAGAAAAGCTAAGTAACTTGGCAGGGGCGTATAATGAGCAATTTGAAGGAAGCAGCAAGTACGATTCAGATAGTAAAATATGACAATAAGATGCATGGGCGTACTTTAGCGTTGAATGCATTCGATCCAGAAGATGTAGGCAAGGTTTGGCCCGTGTTTTTGTTTTGTTCTTCCTTTTCATTTTCTTACCCACTGACTTTATTGTTACTTCATAGCTCCGCGTTTGGGTATAATCAATTCCTATATGAAAAATCGATACACGAACACACACACACAAACACAGAGAGACAGACAGAGAAAGAGAGAGTTTAAAATAATAAATGTACCTATGTATTTCCTTTATGGGGGAAGAGTTTTCAATTTGGGAAATAAAGAATTTGAAGCTAAAGAGAATATCAAATTCAACATTGCATGCTGATTGCCATTTTCGCAACAAAACGGATCATCAGATCATATAAAACTTTTTGCTGTAAGGTCTGTCTCTCGCTTCATAAATATACACGTAGCGATGGGTAAATTGTCGCCATATTATATTTTTAATTTTGCGCATACGCTTTGTTTGTTTTTCATTTAGTCGACTGCATTGTATAGTAGGGCCAGTTGGGCACTGGCTGTGAGAAAAAAGAGCACGACAACGCACTTCACTCAGACAGAAATTTTGAAAAAGTCACGCTGTACATTGGCAATACGAATATTCATGGACAGTGCAGAGGATTTAGAAAGAGTTGAACGAGTTTAATGGTTATTACGAAGGTTCGGCAGTGAGGAAAACTCACTTTGATCGTTCTGATAAGAAAAGAACTCCCGAAATTGTTGCTGAGGACCAAAGGCTCAACACGGAGGACTACATCGAGTGCCTTGAGAAGGTAGTGCTTCCCTGGTTCAAGAGGGTGGCTGCTGGAAGAATGCATATGTGAGTCATATAGCAAGAAAATGGGTAACTATCGACACCGAGATTCAAGAGTAACACTGCGCTTATGAATATATGTCTTCCACCAGGTGTATAAATAGCGGTGTCCGGCTACTGACTGGATTAACTAGTGAGTGATTATTGAGTGACTATTGAGTGTAACTATCCAGTCGAATTAGTGTGAATTATTGTGCATCGATGATTTGCGTTTTGATTTAGGATTTACCGGGCGTTAAGCCGAGCAGCGCTACTAACAAGTTATTCACTGAAATGCTTAATTATCTTTGGTTGACTTTTACTTCTTTGTCTTGTTAAATATTTGTTTGCGGTTGTAATTAAATACCATTTTATTTAAATACTGTTTTATTTAAATACTGTTTTTATTTAAATATTGTTTTATTTTAAATTGAAGTCTTGAGTTATAGTTAATTATTAACAGCCACCGTACGTCACAAAAGGCTGGCAACAGGACTCTGCACCATGCCACACAAGCAGGAGAACCCAGTCATGGCGATGACAAAAAATTTCCGCGGCCGCATCACCATTACTTCTGGTCACCTAGCTCACCAAACTGCACCCTACTCGGTGATCATGTGTCGGGTGCAGTTGATTGAGTGACCAACAAAACTCGTTTTAAAACCAAAGATGAACTGAAGGCAAGGATTATAGCAGCATTCACCAACTTAAACAAAGAGACCGTCCAGAAGAGTTGCAGGAGATTCCGAAGTCGTGGAGGCCGTGACTGAAGCCAATGGCGATTTTATTGAATAAATTTACTCTTTAGTATTTCAAGATATTTTTGTGTAATTTTGGTAAATATAGTGATTTTCCAAGCGTATCTTAAATGCGGCACAGGACAGAAATTAGGGGGCACCCAGTGAGGATCGAGCTCACTACTCAGTTGTAATTGTTCTAGCGGGACAAGCTTGCTAACCATTACTCCGCCTCGAAGTGACCATTAATTTTTGTTAAATATATCTGTTAAAATGAGTTGTCAGTGCTATTTTCATTTTAGCGTAATTTAGACGACAATTTATCCATCGCATCCTACGTGTCGGCGTATGTGTGTGTGTGTGTGTATTATTGTTATTATTATTACTTTAAATGTTAATATAGTGTACCCTTCTTATTTGAACTAGACACCCCATTTTTATCTATTTATTAAACAGTGTGTAATACGTCTAAGTAAATATAATATATTACAGTGTGTAATACGTCTAAGTAAATATAATGTATCCTCCGGAAGGGATCGAACGTGAGTCGACTTTTTTTAATTTGTCTTTCTATCTATCTCTCTCTCTTGCTCTCTCTCTCTCTCTCTCTCTCTCTCTCTCTATCTATCTATCTATCTATCTATCTATCTATCTATCTCTCTCTCTATATATATATCCATATATATAAATATATATATATAATCTCTCACCGATAGCACGATCCAGAGTTACATGCACAAAGTTAATCTTCAGGTGCTGAGTATATACTGAGCCGAGGATTGCTTTGTGCGTGAAACTCCGAGTAGTTCTATCGGTGACAGATATATATATATATTTATTAATATATACTTAACATCTCTGTTGTACTCCATCGAGCAGTTTTCTTCTTATATATATATATCGCACATATAGTGCCGATGTTAAGAAAACTGGTCGATATAGCACAACAGAGCTATATATATATATATATATATATATATATATATTATGGCAAGGAATAAACGGAATGTAAAGGACATAATTATGAAAACTAAGAACTAAAACAAACAACCGGTTTCGTCCCAGTAATCCTCAAGTTTGATACACTGGGATTATTTAATCATAAATTTAAAAACAAGAAACCATTCAATGAGTGGGAAAGGGGAAAAAAAATAAAAAATTAAATAATTTTTTATATATGATAGAAAGAACTAGAGCCCAATCACATTCAAGCCCAACAAGCAATCTCTCTGCTTACAGAGAGACGGCCTGCGGGACTTGATGTAAATGGACTCAAGAACTTTCAAATGATATGCAGAGTGTGACTTCGCCAGAATGGAAAAACAGTCAACACTCAAACCAGCAACACATTCCCTGCTAGTTATAGCGTGTTCCGCTATAGATGACCCGGCTAATAATGCAAGACTCTTCGGTAAATCGAATTGAGTTCTCTCAGTCACTGTGTGTTTATCTAAAAATAAATACACTTAAAATTCACCTTCATCCCTGCCGTGCGCCAACGGCTTAGTGGTAGACGCCAATTCAATCGGATTTCGATCCTAGCTAGAGGCAACCGGATGTCTAGCCACACTGATGAGCTGTGATACATCAAAACAGTCTGTCTGTGGATGACAATATATATATATATATATATATATATATGCCTCTCTAATGCTCTAAAAAATTCCTGCCAGCATCTATTTGGACAAGAGCCACAACAGATCATAGGTGGTGCATCGGTTCCACATCTCAGTTAAAATATTAAATAAAATTGATTTTTCTGGTTTAAATTATTATCAGATCTCAGATTGCTATGAACGAACGCTAAGCAAAAAAATATCTACTAATAAAATATATATATATATATATATAGAGAGAGAGAGAGAGAGAGAGAGAGAGAGAGAGAGAGAGAGAGTGTGTGTGTGTGTGTGTGTGTGTGTGTGTGTGTGTGTGTGTGTGTGTGTGTGTTAAAAAGAAAACGCGTTTCATTTTCTGGTGGATCTTATCATGTATGCAAGGATTTTATTTTGCAATAAGTATTTATAAGCAAAAGTAAAATGTTATCTTTCCAAGCTAACGTACATGACGATAATGATTTTCAAAAATGAAACGCAAACGGTTAAATTCATTACCTTTTATTTAATATATATAAAACATAAATTCATCCCAAACTAAATGATATAAATATGAATTACATCATTTACACACTTTGTTTGTTAGGCATTAAATCACGTTAATTAGTATCCACGATAATTTACCTGAGTGGGCACGGGGGAGTCACGGTTAGCAGCTCAGTATTACGTGCTAATACCCTTGGGAAAGGTAGGAATCCTCTTCTTCTCCCCCAGCTGCTATGTAAACTGTTATGGGGTCCACCCTTTTCGTATATAATGGACTCGTCCTACTGCCATAAAATAGCCACAGTCAGGCAGAGAAGGGGAGTCGTACATGAGTCGTACCGGAGTCGTAGGGTGTCGGATGGAGTGAAGTAACCTCTTGTAGAAGTCAGTTACAAGCGCGTAGACTCTAAGGAAGTCCTTCTTCGAGACTGTATATATCTATCTGTATTTGCTACTAACCGTGTTCCTGGATTTTACTAACAGCATTACCTTTTGTATTTTGTGTAAATACATTTAATTTCTTAGCGTAAATACTTGCGTTTGTCATTTATTGGATACCTATTTTTCACGCGGGATCCACAACATAAACTAAATTCAAAAAGCCTCATTCCGAGACAGTCAGTCTAGGGCTGAAGAAGGCTGACATAATGTTGCGCCAGTTTGAAATAGACTATTCCACATTAGGTAATTTTGGATTTTTGTTGTAATATATATATATATATATATATATATATATATATATATATATATATATATATATATATATATATCAATCCTCAATCCTCTATTCAATCAATTTGAAGTCCTGACATATACAGCAGATAAGGTTTGCTCAGAAATTCTCTTCCAACTGAACACTCGACTCATTTCCCAATAGGACAGAAGTTCAACTGAATCATATACGCATAACCCCGTCACTGATTTCAGGCATCATTTCCATATTAGACTCCCAATAAGGCAAGCGGAGGTTACAAGATCCCAATTATCGTCCTAAAGAAATGTGTTCCTGGGCTGGCTCCAGTTCTCTCCAAACTCTACAACTATTGCCTCGTAACTTCTGTGCTTTCCAGCTTGTTAGAAGTCCTCCTCTGTAGTTCCTGTTTATAAGAAATCTGGCGAACCTTCTGACCCTTCGCACTATTAGTCTCCTACCGCTTTTCAGCAAAGTATTCGAGGCTTTAATCAATGCTGAAATGGTTAAGCATCTTAGTCCTAACGCCCTACTCTCTGACAATATGGTTTCCATTTTGCCGGGTCTTCCGCTAATGTGATAACGGCCATCATTAAGCTCTTGATAATAACGGCGAAACTCGAGCTGTGGCTTTAGATATCTTGAAGAGGTTTGACAGGTTTTAGCACACTGGTCTTACTACGTAAGCTCCAAGGCTACGGTATTACTGGACGATTGTTTGATTTAATCCAATCGTTCCTATCAAATCGTGAAATGCAGGTCGTTTTAAACGGGATCCTTTCCAGATCTTTTCACACGATCGCGAGTGTCTCCCAAGACTCTATTCTGGGTCCTACTTTGTTTCTGATCTTCATCAATGATCTTCCTGATATCATCAATTCCCAAGTAGGCATTTATGCTGATGACACTACCATTTACTCCTGTCTTAATAGTAAATCCGTCAAAGTTTACCTGGTCGCTGCTCTTGAAAAGGACCCCCAATCAGCGGTTAAGTGGGGCAGGAAATTTTCATGCCTCCAAAACAAAACTGCTCTCATTTAACCACTACAGAGAATCTTTTATTTAAGGCAGTGGAGAACTTAGAGAGTGGAATTAACAGGAGATAACTGACATCCATCAAACATGGCACGTGGAACTAGAACAGTCTACCCCGGTGAGCGAAATAAAGGTTTCAGTTCGACATTCCAACCATCTGAAGAAGGCCGGAGCGTACAACGTTGTGATAAATATGACGACAAAGATGAGGACAATAGTCCGAATAATGCAAATAATGTAGAATCTTTCCTGTCAACTATCAGTACAACTGATGCTAGACTCATGGAGAGCAACACACTGCGCCTTCTTGGCTTCACGTTTTCAACTGACTTTTCAACGGGCGGGACCTAGATGCCAATTTAGCAGTACGTTTAAATTCATGTAGAGAAAAAAGCTCTTCAGAGGGATGTCACGACATATCGGTGAGAAAGGGACTGAAGTCTAGATTCTTGGTCAGAATCGATTGTATTGCCGACCCTTCTCTGGATTTCTTCAAGAATATCGAGATGCACAGCAGGAGCACCAGATCATATATGACGGCAGAATTCAATGCACGGGCGTAGAAATGTAAATGCACAAGATGGACTCTGACGAGAAATATTTTCTGCCACGTCACAGGGTCCCAACTTTCCTTGCAGTGTAAGCAGCTATTGATTAGATGTCGGTGAAAAACGTGAGGCCAAATGTGCAGTATAGTGTGTGAATAAGCGTCTTTTTTAAAAAAAAAATCCATATTCATTAATGACTTATTTGCGGTTGTGTTAGTGTTTACCATGCAAACAAATAACAGCAAAAAGATTTTATTCACAAATAAACTTTCAAGTTAATTTCCACATAAACATATATTTTATTAATACAAAATCCCGTATACTTGAATCATTTCAACCCAAACAAGGCAATAAAAACAATAGAGGTACTGAGTGAGAAAAAAGAGAAAAAGAATTATTAACGTCTGTCTATGTTTCTGAGATGAGGTATTCTAACTATTTACATTGTTCGAATTGTTGTCCTCATCTTTATTGTCATATTCATGACGTTTCGGCCGTTTTATACTCCGGCGAGCTTCAAGGTCTGTCTATATTTCTGTGAGGAAATATTGTAACTATTTACACTATTTACATTTGTTCGGACCGTTGTCCTCGTCCTTATTGTTATATTCACAACGTTTCGAATTTTGTACATTCCGGCTTTCTCCGGGTGATATACGTTGGAATTTCGAACCGAACCCTTTATATGACGGGGGTAGATTGTTTTAGTTCCATGTACCATATGTTTTATCGATATCTCAGTTTCAATTAATTCCCTTTAGTATCTCAACTCAAAGTTTTTGTTCACCGTGTATTGGACACTGAACTCTTTGGATCAAGTCACTAGATTACTTCAACCAACGCATTTATCTACTTGGCCATGTGTCCTTGGGTGGGGGAGACATAAAACGCCTGAAACGTCGGAAATATGATAATAAAGATGAAGGTAAAAATGGTGTAAATAAATTATTAAGGAGAAAGTGTAACAAATGGACAGCAAATAAGAAGGCAGAAGATAACGACTAAGATTGCATTCAAATTTTGGAAGATCAATGGTGATTGGAAAGTAAGCAGCTGAAAAAGAGTTCCACAAGTGAGACGCGCGAGAGATGATGTTAGTACAGTGTAACCCGGATATAAGAGACCCGGATATAAGAGAAACCCGGATATAAGAGAGATTTTCTCTGGTCCCAAATTAGAGCCTGTGTTAATGTATATAAATTAGACCAAAACCCGGATATAAGAGAAACCCGGATATAAGAGACTGCTTCTCCGGTCCCGACAACTCTCTTATATCCGGGTTACACTGTATAGAACGTACGGTTATATCTACCTA